CAGCTCTGCAGCTCAGGGCTATGCCAGAGGTACAGGTCTTGCTGCAGTCAGGGTTTTGGAAGCCGACTGCCACAGGAGAACTGCTTCCCAAGAACTACAGGACTGCGGCTGAGCACTGCTGCTTGAACAAAACCCATGAGGACACTGTCACAGGCACCGCAAGCAATGCTCTGCTGAAGCTGTCTGATGTCTAATAGACTGGGAAGAGTCTTCTGCATGGCTTGGAATTTTGAGGTGCCCCTAAAACTCAATTCTCTTTAATGCTTAATTTTTGTGTATGTCTTTCTCTCTTAACCCCAGGAAGGGGGGCGGGGCGGGGTGGGGGAATTAATGGTTCTGCTTTTTTAACAAGTAGAAATTCTTAAGACATCCTAATTTACAAGGTAGTGGACCAGCTGAAGATGTCTTCAGAAAGGTTTCTTTTCACAGCCTTTCACACAGGTAGTTCCTGAAAGCTCTGTTGGTGCTGTGTTGTGTTGGAAATGGATTCTTCCTAGAAGCCCTGTGCTCTTTGCCCTCAGTGATTAAATGAGAGGATTTCCCATGAATGGCAAGGTAGTATTTTTTCTTGGCTGACAAGGTTTCCTTGGGGAAATACTCAGCTCTTAGGGATCAATGTGAGATGTTGATCAGCACTAGACTGCGTCCATTCACTTGATTTTCTCCCCTTAGAAGGACCACTGTTCCCCACATCATTTTGGCTTCTGTGACTGTAAATGTTTACTCTTCACATTTTAGGAACCTTCCCTCCTCAGGAGACCCACGAAGGTTCAGATTCCAGGCTGGCATTTCCTCAGCTAAGAAATCTCCTTCAGGGACTGGGCTGACTGATTGCCAAGAGCTTTGTGGGTGATGGATGTGAGAACAGCAGATCGAAGGCCCAGTACAATTGAAGCAGCCCCCTATGCTCCCAGGTTACTGCTCAAGTAATGCTGCTGTTAAGAGACAAGGCAGACTCTTTCAAATGTTTTTTTTTTCCCTCTTGCTTACATGTCAACTGTTATTTTTTTCTCTCATGTTCACTTATATGTTACTACTATGCCACAGAGAGCCTGCAAGCTGAATTTTTTCATTTATACCTCCAGCGATGACTAGATTCTTTTCCCAGAGCAAACCTTTATAACTGTACTTTGTGCAGTGGCTAAAGTGACCATGAAAAAGGGAATGCTGAGGCAATCAGTTAAGAAAATAAATAAATCTAGTGTCAGCAAATCTGGAGTATTTACATTCTCTGGGCTCTTGTGTAAGAGACCTTGAGAGCAAGAGGAAGTGACCAGATGTGATTTGAAGGAAGTATATTGTTTCTGTAGATGGATTGATGTTAATTCTCTGATCTTAAACTAAATGAAGTATTGATCATTTACTGTAAAACTGTTGATCACAGTGGTAATTTTGTTGCTTAAGTGATTTATACTAGTAAAACATATCAACTAGCAGCCTAATGAAAGCATGTTAGAAAGCACTTGTTCATAAAGCACGGATGGTCATAGTGTTCTCTTATTGCTCATTTCAAGAGTAACTAAAACGAGGGACCTGTGGGTGGTGCCTGTGAGCATGCACAGGCCCTACAGAATTGTTCCTGCTGCAAAGGGTGAACAAGCTACACCTGGAACAACATCGTTGTTCAAAGTGTCCCACAGCTGAGAAGTGAGTTTGGTGGGACTGAAAGCATTTAGCAATTTTAGTGGAACCTCCTTTCCAAGCTGACTACAAAACAAAAAAGGGTTTAAAACAAAATGATCAAAGGAAAATTATTATGAGTGATGCTTCCTTGAATATGAAGGTTTTTATTTTTAAAATATAAGCATATAATAATGTCTCAGTAACAGCTATATACATTTAAATAGGAAAAATGTAGGTACAAATTCCATAGATAAGATTTCCAACTGTATCACCAGGCTGAATTCATTATGCCTGACAATGGCCCCAGGAGGTAGGCAAGTATTGTTGTACCAATGCTTTGCATTTCTCTTGGAGGCAGTGGAGCTACTTGCACTAAAATTAACTGTACACAACTGCAAGTGTCCACAGGGTTAGCCCCAGAGCAAAGATATTTATGGAGGTAAGTGTCACCAAGAAATGGGAATTAGTTTTACAGACCCTCCAAGAGCTGAAGCACATGGCATTGGGTAAGTGTAGTGATCTGCCTGGGAAAATTGCTCTGCATTTCTGAACCCTGCCCCTTTCCACTGCTGCAGAACCAGCATGGTTCTGGTTGTCCTCAGTGGAAAGGGGCAGGGTTCAGAAATGTGATTTCCCCAGTACCTGGGCTCTTGCGTTCCTTGCAGTCCTCACTTCTAATGTGCATTTAAAACACATTTGACAGTAAAGCATTAGACACTGATCATAGGAGGAGCCTAAAAAACATTTGCTGCTGGACCCTTTTCTGCTGAAGCAGTCTTGTTCTGAATAAAGTAAGTATGAATGCTTTATTTGGGTGAGTATTCTGATGATGCAGTCCATGAGACTGAAAATAATTCAGCTGTACAATGTCTGTGTTTGTAGTAGCTCCTAGATGGGGTTTGCTATCCCAGGGAGCAGGCCAGCCACAGGGAGGGCAGAAATCCCCCTTCCCTCCTCCTGCAGGTGGCCTGGGCTGGTTGTAGCTGAGATTCAGTGAGGATTACCTTATCTCAGTGAGCAAGACTCACACCTTGGTCTCTCTCCACTTGTGGGTTTTACTGCCTGAAGACCAGGGGAGGTAGAAAGAAGGCTGTGTGTTCCCCCACGTACTTTTCAAAAGGAAAGGAGGAAACGGGAGAACACATGGGAAAGTGGGGAAAGGGAAGAGAAGGAATAAAATACTTTCTGACCAGTGGCGGTGCCTGCTGAGAAGCTGACTGATTTTGAAATGGCATTGCATGAGCAATTAGAGTGTTGAGTACAAACTGTGGACTGACCCATGTGCTTTGTGTGCTTTCAAAATGTCTCTGGCTGTAATGATAGAGGAGGCTTTTTAAAGCAAGTCTGCTGTCCCCCCTTTTGTAACCCACTTTTCTGTAACATTAGTCCGTTCCTGACCCCGAGCTGCTGCCTGGGCTCTTAACCAGGCTGGGCATGGCGGGGGGGAGAGGAAAGGAGGAGAGGGGGGAAAATATGCATAAAGATACGGGGATAAGTTCAGTTTGTTTTCCTCTGAAAGCTTTGACACTTGCTTAGAGCAGATTCATTTTCAAGGCTTCCTACATTCCTGCTATTGTACAGTAAGTGTTTCAGACCGGTGTGCCTGTGTTTCCGACTCCCGTGAAGTCCCCTTTGCAGCAGGGCGTGCCTCGAACTGCTTCAAAAGAACCAACTTCTACAAAAGAAAAAAAGAAACTCAAGTAGGCTTGAACATACAAAGAGAGGGAGAAAGGAAAGTGAAAAGGGCCGGGCAGTGTTGAATACAAAATGAGTTCAGCCAGCCCCAGGAGTTCTTCATCACTTACATTTATCTTATTCTGGGAGAGCAGAGCTAAACCCAGTGCTGACATAAACCACCCTTTGCCTTTGACTCTGAGAGTGTGCACACACAGCAGATACAGGCATACAGAGAGCACTGGATTTCAATGGAACATTTTTTCCCCCTCTGAGCAGTGGTGTTGGTGGGAAAAATGGCTTTTTGTGTGTGTCCTTTCAAAGGCAAACTGTGGAGTGAGTCTCAGATGCCTCCAGTTTCAAAGTGTGCATGCGCTCACAAAACACGCACTTGAAAAATAAGCAGCTGTTACTGTTTCCCAGCCAGGAACTTCTCCCATCCCAGGAGCACGCTGAGGTGCTCGGCTGATGTCCCCAGTGCTCCATACGGTCACTGAGGTACTGCTAAGGGAAGTCCCCAGAACCGGACAGCAGCCCTGGGGTATCCAGAGGCCGGGGTCTGATGCAAGGGGGCATCAGCCACCTTGCATCCACATGAGAGGCTAATGGGATGCTGCTTCCCTCTGTGCCCAGAGGCCAGTGGATGGTTTGTGGGATGGAGGATTGGGCTTGCTGTCAAGAAGGCCCGACAGCCACACAGCCCACCAGCCTGGAGGGAGATGTTCAGCACTTCAACACGGCACCAGCCTGGCTCCCCCCATGCTGGGAGCTTGCTAGGCTGTCAGTGGCTACTGCTCAGCAAAGCTCCCACTCATTTCCAAGGTTTGGTTCGCAGTTCTTGCATGGAACAGCTCACAGCCACGGCACCCGGTGCCCAAACAGGGAACACACGGGATTAACCCTGGGGAGGAGAGCACAGCAGGGCTGCTGGCGATGCACATCTGTGCCACGGGCACCCAGGAAAGGAGCACGTGGTGCCTGCGGACTGAAAGAGAAGCCGGGGGGGCTGGGAATTTAGCCAGCAAACGGCACCATGCAGCACAGCGCTGAGGGCTTTTTCCCCTGTTAACGATAGCATTTATTGAAGGGGGGAGGGTTAGACAATAGGATAGTATGAAAGTTTTTACTCGATACAGATAGATGGTCTGGCAACTTTATGGATACTATACAGAAACAAGGTATTGACTTCTGCTCCTTACCATCCTTCTTACCGAGTAAACACTTCCATTTTGGTCAGAAACTGACAAGTTGTTTTGGAGGGGATACAACAGCTTTTGCCTTTGAAGCATAATAGCTAGCAAAAAAAAAAAAAAAAAAAAAAAAAAAAGAAGAATAGAGAGAAGGTTTGCCTGCGTTTGTTTGTAAAGAAAGCAAACCATCAGCTTTCCGCTTTCTCAGTACCATCCAGTTGTTTGTGGAAGGTGGGCCCCAGGCGCCTGCGATGCGCCAAGTGTGCCCAGCCAGCTTCCTAAACCAGCAGCGAGGCTGCTCATTCCATGTCACTGCCGCTCGGCTTTGAGCTGCTGGGCTCCCTCGCTCCCTCCTTGGCTTGCGAGTTATTCACTTTTGAAAAAACATATCTGCCTCATACTGTGCCCATCACTTTGTTCTCCACACGCCTATTCACACGGGCAAACCTCCACTTCTCCTCTCCAGGCAGGCGGCGGTGGCGGGAGGGGAGGCAGCGCGGAAGGGAAGTTAAGATGCGTGCACGGAGCTATTTCCCTCTCCACCACCTTTGGCCAGCTATTGTTGGCCCAACAAAAGGACTCGCTCGCGGGGGATCGGGACCCTGCCGAAAACGTGGCAGCTCCGGGGGCAATGTGCTGTCCCGGCTGCAAACGCCACCGCTTCTCACCTACCGAGTCCCGCGTGGGCTTCCCGCGTGTCCCCGGGATTATCGCTCTAAAACCGAGGGCATTCCCTCGTCGGCTTCGCGGCCGAACCTCCGCACGGCAGCGCCGCGCTCCCTGCACCGCCGTCCGCACCGTCCCGAGCGGGCAGCGCTCCGCACCGACACCTCGGGCACGGTCGCTGCGGCCGCAGCGAGAGCCGGGCGGACCGACGGCTACTCCCGCCAGGCGTGGGGAAGCCAAGGCGGGTATTTACCGGAGCCTCCCAGGTTTGGCTATAAGGAAAAGGATGTTCCCCCAGGCGGGCGCGACGGAGCGTCCTCAGAGAAATGCAGCGGCGGGGAGAGCCCGGTGCCGCGGGCTGTAGGTTCGCTCTGTCGGCGGAGCGCCCGGCGCGGGGCGGACGCGCCGTCGGGGCGCGCCCCGGCACCCCCACCCCGTTCCGCCCCGCCCGGGAGGGGTGGGGCGCGAGGCAGCGGAGGGGCGGGGGGGACCCCGGCGCGTGCCGCTCCTTAAAGGGGGGCGCGAGCCCGGCCGACACCGGAGCCGTCGGGGCGCCACGCGCGAGGCGGGGGCTGCGCGCGGCCCGATGGGCGCGCGGCGCTAGAGCCATGAGCCTGCCCTGGGCGGAGCGCGCCCGCGAGCCGCCGGGGCCCAGCGAGGGCTGCGGGCGCAGGTGAGCGGCGTGCAGAAGCAGCGGCGGCTGGCGGCCAACGCGCGGGAGCGGCGGCGGATGCACGGGCTGAACCACGCCTTCGACCAGCTGCGCAATGTCATCCCCTCCTTCAACAACGACAAGAAGCTCTCCAAGTACGAGACGCTGCAGATGGCGCAGATCTACATCAGCGCCCTGGCCGAGCTGCTGCACGGCCCCGCCGCTCCTTCCGACGGCTCCGGCAAGGCCGAGCACCGCGGGGCCCCCTTCGAGCCGCCCTGCGCCGCCGCCGGGGCCGGAGCTCCGCCGGGGCCGCCGGCGCCGCCGCCGGGGCCGCCCAGAGCGTCTCCCCCCGGGCACGGCCGGACTCGCTTCCCCCCGCCGCCGGCCGCGGGGGGCTACTCGGTGCAGCTCGACCCGCTGCACTTCTCCTTTGCGGAGGGCGCCCTGATGGGACAGAGAGCCCCTTCCCCCGCCCTCCTCCTGCCGCAGCCCGGGCAGCCGCCGCAGGAGAGGAGCAAAACGTCGCCCCGGTCCCACAGGAGCGACGGGGAGTTCTCGCCCCGCTCCCACTACAGCGATTCGGATGAGGCCAGCTAAGGCAGGGGCGTCGTCCCCGGCAGCCCCGCAAGGCCGCCCCTCGAAGCATAGACTCCGCCGTGGGGTGAGCAGCCGGACGCGGTGCCGCCACGGACGGCATCGGCTCCCCTCGGTCGCTTTGAAATCCGCCCCCTCGTCTCCCACCCCCGGCAGCCCCTGGTTTGTCCAGGGGGGATGGCTGTTAGCGAGTGACTGTACCCGCCCTGTCTGTCAGGGTCGGTTGGTTTGTTTTAACTCTTAGTTTACACTTCGAAAGTTTCTTTCGCCTAGAAGTCGTTGCCGTTCCCTCCTGCCAACACGCCACCTCGCAGCGCGGAGCCTGGCTCGCCCCGTCGGCGAGCGGGCGATGCGCAGGGAGAAAGCCTGGCCCCGCTGCCGGGGGCGCCGCCGGCGCCATCCATCCCCACCCAGCCGTGAACACGCCCTGACACCCCCGTCTTCCAGGACATCGATCCTGCCGTGGGTCGCATTGCTGTGGAAACACACACATACACACACACACACACACAAAGTCAATAGCGCACCGTCTTAACCTGTAAATAGCGGAGAAAATTTGGATTTTCCTTAGAGCACCATGTCGGCGTCTTTTGGGGGGAAACTTGGCGCAAGCACTTTATCAGCGGCTGGAGATGCAGTTTCAAGAGGAAAGCTACTAACTGCCAATTGGAGACCAATGTTTAATTAAGCCACTTAATCCTAACGCTCTCTTAAAAACGAAAACGGTTTTGTCGTGTCAAACTTTTATGTCAGTTTTATTTTCCTTTTGTGGTAATAGGAAACGTATTTATTATGCAGTGTTTGCAATTATTTCTGCTTTTCTCTTTTTTTAAAAAAAATTCTTTTCTACGACGAAAATCGTTTATTTTGATTTTAGCAACGCCAGCTGCCATTGTTTTATGTATTTTAATTTTGAAAATTTTTTGAGATCAAATAAACGTAGGAAAAACAAAAAAAAAAAAAAAACACCAAAACAAACAAAACAAAATCAGCTTCGAATCGTGGTCGGGTTCAACTTCTCCCTTCGCCCTCCCTGAGCCGGGGTGGTGGTGTCAAACTCCGCGGCGGGGGTGAGAGGTGCAGGGCCGGGGGCGATGCTGCGGGGAGCCGATGGGGCGCTCCGGCTGCCTGCAGAGGGACGGGCGGACCCCGGGGCCGGTGTCCGGGGCGGGCTGTGCCCCGCCTGGAGCAGCGCTACCTCCGCTCCCTGCGCCGCCGGGACCCTGTCCCGTCCCCGTCCCGCAGTTCCCAGCGGAACCAGGTAATTGCAACAAGTGCAGGGTAAGGAGCTTGTCGCTGTTTTGTGGCGCCTGTCCCCGCACCGCCGCTCAAGTCACATCGTTCCCTTCTTCCCCACCCCTCCTCTTCTCGGGGACGCGAGCGGATCTTCCCACGGAGCCCTCTCGGTATAAGCCGAGCGGAAAGGGCTGGGAGCGGGCGGAGAAGCCGGCGGGATTTAGGGGACACGCGAGCGGGTCGCCGGGGATCAGGATGTGGCCCCTGGGCTCGGGTTGAACCCGGACGGGAGTCGGGGATTGGCTGATGCTCAGCCAGCCTGCCCGTGACACCGGACCCGGGGCTAAACCGGAGCCGTGTCGGTGCCGGGGTCCCGCTGGGTTCAGCAGGTGACCCTGGCAGGGGGTGTCGGAGGGGTGATCACTTCACCGGGCGCGGCCAGGGGAGCGGCCCCCGCGGGTGTCGCTTTCCCTGCAGAAACAGGGCACCTGTCCCCCCGGTAACCCCGCGCTGTCGCCCTGCCCTGCTCGCCGCCAGCACACGGCCGCCGCCCGTACCTGCCGAAGCGGGCTACGGTCCCGCAGGGCGGAAAGTTTATCGGGAGGGTCATTTGCCTTCCTAATAAAATGCCTGCTTTGTCGGGGTAGGTCAGCTTTGGTTACCGGCACTGATTTCTGTGCTGTTGGAAGCCGGTCTCGCGCCCTGGGGTCCCATCACGGGAGAGATGCGGCGGAGCAAAAAAACACCAACTTTGAGGGCTTTGTTCTGTTTATTTGGTTTAATTTGGGGAGGTACTCGGCGCGGGGGAAGCGGCGGCCGCCGCCGTGACTGAGGGGCAGCACCCGCGGAGGGGTCCCGGCGGTGCCGGCCGTGGGTGGAAGGGCTGCGTGCGGCCTCTCTCTGCCCCGCCGTCCCGGGCTCTGCCTCTGCGGCTGCGAACACTCGGGGTGGTGGAAAAGAGCGCATCAAAATCCTCCCTGCTCCCTCGGTCGGGTGTCCCTTCCCCCGACAGACGAGCGCACTGCATGGCGCGGCTGGTGCTCGCAGCCGCAGCGCAGCAGCACTAGCCGTCTGAGGGGCTTTTTCTTCTTCTTTTTTTTTTTTTTTTTTTTCGCTTCTTTGAAAGAGATACCCAGCCGCATTCCCATTTTAAGGTTCAGCTATAGAGTTTGCATAACAACCGCTTGGCAGCCCCCCTCTCTTGCACTCCGTTAACAAGCTGTAACGTATAGCTGCAGGTTGCTATAATCTCATTAATATTTTGGAAACTTGAATATTGAGTATTTCAGACCGCTCATTCCCCATATGCCAGGCCACTCCCGCTATGCTGGCTGGTTCCTTTCTCTCCATTATTAGCAATTAGCTCCTACCTTCCAAAGTCAGATCCAAGTATCCAAGATACTAGCAAAGGAATCAACTATGTGTTGCAAGCTAAGCATGCTTAATATCTCCCAAACAAACAAAGAGACAACATTTCTTTAAGTAATGAAGATGGATAAATCGCTTTATTGAGCCTGCGACAGTGTTTGTTTTGTATAGACTACCGCAAAGTTTTTTAACAAGAGCGGGGACGCGCACCAGCCCCTGGAAGCAGTCTCGCCCGGTTTGCTTCGTGGGGTTTTATCATCCTAAACGGGCTTTTATTTGAAAAGGGCGAGTCAGAAGCGCACTATCCGAGCGTTAAATTTTGGCTGAACGCTGACTGTCCTCCGGGGTGTGCGAAACGAGCGCGGGGGCTGGGGGGGCTTGGGGAGGCAGTCGCCTTTGTGCGAGGCGCACGGCGGCTCCGCTGGCTTTTGAGCCCGGATCAAAGCCGGATGCAGCGCGGCCGCGAACTCCGGTGCGGGGCTCTGCCCGGCCGTCCCAGGGATTGCGGGGGCACGGAGCGGGGCGAGGCGCGGCGGCCGAGGCGCATCTCTGCCCTGCAGCTCTCCGGCTGCTGTTTGCTCAACCTCTGGCCTCGGAGAGGGAGGAGGAAAGGAAGGGGGAGAAAGGGTTAAACCCAGCGAGGGGAGACCAGAAAAGCGCAGGGACCGGACAATGGGGGGGACAGGGGGGCTGGAGGGCGGAGGGGGGTCTGGCCTCGCTCCCGGCCGCGGTGCGCCGTGTCTGGAGCGGAGCACGCGTTGTCAGCTGGTGAGCGCAGCGGCCTTTCAGGCGGCTCCCCAGGGAGCTGCGCGCCCGCGGTGAGCTCCATCGTCACCCCCTCCCCTCCATCATCATCGTCATCGGCCTCCTCCTCCTCGGCGGCCCCCCACCCCAGCCGAACACAACAGCCAGCATTCAAGCCCCCTTCCCTCCCTCCCCTCGCACAACAGCAGCGCAGTGGCAGCCACGCCACCTCCCAGCAACCAGCAGCACGCGAGGGCACCGCCGGGGCACCTGAAAGAGTCAAAGCCAAAGAAAGGGAGACAAAGGAGGAGAAAAAGATACGCAGGAACGGCCCAGCGTGTCTGCTCCGACAGTGCGGAGGGGCAGGCGCCCACAGAGGGATGGGCGAGCCCACGCGGAGGCCGGCACGCACACGCGTGGCACTCGCTCGCAGGGGTCCGAGCCGCTGCAGCACCGACGGAGACACGCAGAAATCCCCCGGTGCTAGTCACAGGGCACAGGGAAGCGCCCCGGCATCTTTGCGCCCACAGCCCCGTCCCCGCGAGGGGCACCTCCCGGCTTGGGTATCTCTGTGTGCCTGACTCCCCTGGCCCCACCTCTGACACTGCCACCCACGGGCACGGATGCCGGGACGCGGCAGGAGCCGACCTTGTGTCTGGTCACCCGCATGTGCCCGTGACGTGCCTGTCTGGGGAGAAAAATTGGGGGAACGTGGCGAGGGATCGGCTTGTGCGTGGGTGAGGCAGGGACCCTGCCGGCCCCGCATGGGAGCATCCTCCCCTCGGGCAAGCCAGGCTGGAGCAGCGAGGAGCTCCGAGCGTACCCTGGGGGACATGGGGTCGAGTTTTCCGCCCCTGGCCAAGTCATAGCAGCGCGGAAGGGGCTTTGCTCGGGGCTGTGTGTCCGCCGGGGTCGGCGCTGGGGCGCACGGCCGGCTGCCCTCCCGGAGCTGGGCTGGGGCCTCGGAAAGCCACATGCTGCCCTGCCGCCACCCTGTGTGAACTCCAGGCGGACTGTCTCTGGGGAGTCCCCGGGAGGGGATGGGAGCGCGGCTCCGCGGGCTGCGCTCCCCTGTGCCATGGGTGCGCTGCCACTGCCGCCGCTGGCCATCTCCAGGCTGCCCAGAGCGGGGCAGACAGAAAGGCTCTTCTGAAGTGCTATCGAATGGCTCGGGATGCCTTCGGGAGCCCAGCCAAGGCGTGTCAAAGGCGGTTTGAGCGGTGAAGCATTTAAACGCTTCAATGGGTGACTTTCTGGCGTGTGCTTTTCTCCCTCCCTGCTTAGGCCCGGGAGGAGGGAACAGGCCTTTTTACTGAGCTCCTTCGGGGGTGGATGCGACATCCCCAGCCCCCAGCCCGGTGCCGCAGCCGGGCTCTTCTCTTCCGGCGGAGCGGCCGCCTCTGCCCCGTCGGGCAGCGGGAAGAGCTCGGGTCTTCTGCAGCTCCCCGCATCTTGTCTCTCCCATCTCGGTTTAAGCTGCTCGGGGTGGGCAAGTGCCGGCCCGTCGCACCCGCTGCAGCACGGAGTGCAGATGGGACTTGAGACAGGAGCTTGTGCAGCGCGGGGATAGGCTTTCAACAGGGCTGACAGGAGATTTGGGGTGGGAAAACAAATTTCCTCCGTTTCTGAAGAGATTCGTTTTTGTATTTCATCCC